AATCCATCCTGCATACAGTCACCAGACTAATTCTCCAGAAGTGGTTCTCGAATGCCAGCATCACTTGGGCACTTACTCCAGATGCAAATTCTCAGCCTTACTCTATAGACTGAAGGAATCAGTAACTGTGGAGGTGGAGCTTGTTTCCTGACCAGTCCTCCAAGTGACTCTGTTGCAGTTTATTTATTTATTTATTTATTTATTTATTTATTTATTTATTTATTTATTTTTCTATTGCAGTTTAAAGCTTGTCCTGGAGCACTGCTGTGATAATCCAGTAGTGTGGCATGTTAATCCACGGCCTTCAAAATCCTAGAAGACTAGCTCTAATCTCCTAGTCTACAGGTACTCAAGATATTTTTCCTGTATTTTGCCTTTCTTCCATTCTCCTTTATAAGCTTATTCATCCTAAAATGTCTGTCTGATGATACCCAATAGCTCTTCAAGGTCCTGTTGAACCAGCATTGCTCTAATAACTTCTCTGATCCAATGTGAAGTCTTTTCTCCCTCATCTGTGTTCCAAAACCAATTTATATCTCTCATTGCCCATATCCATTTCTTCTTCTTCTTTGAAAAAAAATTTAAAGTAGGCTTCACGCCCAACCTGGGGCTTCAACTCATGAACCTGAGATCAAGAGGCACGTGCTCTACCAACTCAGCCAGCCAGGCATTCCAATTTATTTTTAATATAGTTATTTTTGCATCCTTTTTCCTCTGAGCATAAACTGCTTGAAAGTATGGACTAGTTGTGTTCATTGTCTACCACGTTTAAAATTGACACATGGACATAAACTCAAATATTTATAAAATAAATATAAAGAGCTGGCTAGTGAATAGCAGAAACAAAATGACTGTGTAAAAAGAAATGTGGTTTTATGACTTTATGGCTCCCTCTTCTGCACCTCTTCAGCACTTTGTCATCCACTTAGTGCTTTATGCATTGTGGTTTGAGCTTCTATTTTCCTTGTGAGATCATGAGTTCCTACAGGGGTAGGAAGCCTGTCTTAATCATCTGAGTGCCTATGATACTGGGCATAGTGCCTGTCATATTAGCTTTGGATTGACCTTTTTTTTTAATGAATGAGAACACTTCAGCTAACATAAAATAATTGGCTTACAAAGTATTTCATGGTAGTAGTAATGAAGTGCCTAATCCTTTGAGCAGTTTATCTCATTTGATTTTCTCCAAACAGTGTTTGTAAAGTTTATAGAGTCCAGATGGCAGAAGCAGCCAAGAAAACCAATACAAGAGTGGCTGTCCCCTAAGACTTGGAAGGTTTGACAACTTAAAGGACTATTCTTAGTGTCATATCATGCTCTTTTTTACCCACTATCCTTAAACCTTCTACATTTGCAAGAAGACTCTATTTGCTCAAGAGCATCATTAATAGGGATTAATGACTTACACAGCTCTGGATGCCACAGACAAAGACAAAAATTGAACCTTTATAGCAAAGAACATGGTATCTCTGTATGTATACCTAGAAATACTAAAGAAGCATTTCCTCCTTGACAATAAGGCTGGGGAGATTTTATTTTATAATTAGTGAAATTAGGGGCATTTCTGATATGTTTGCTTAATGTAAACATTTCTAACCATACCACTTAACCCTCATTTTATTTTACTTTAAAGATTTTATTTCCTTAAGTAATCTCTATACCCAATGTGGGTTTCAAACCCACAACCTCAAGATCCAAAGTCACTTGCTCTATCAACTGAGCCAGCCAGGTACCCCTTAACCATCATTTTAAACATCTATTTTTAATACTGGTGCTAGAATTCCCACTGAAATCCTTAATCAGCTCTCTTGGTAACTTAATAGGTACTTGATAATACTGCTTACATAATTCACCTGCTTAAATATTTAATATTTAAATGTTTAATTTAGATTAAATTATTAAAAACATTCTGGGTTAATGGCATTCAAATATGTAAGTGTTCTATATTTTCTTGTCCTGTAGGTGACAATTTGAGGTTAATTTTAATTCGTCTCATTTTACTAAACCAACTTTTTCAAACCTTTTCTGTAAAGGCCAGATAGTAAACATTTTGGGCTTTGCAGGCCATATATGGTCTCTGTCATATATTCTTCTCTTTCTCTTCTTTTCTCTTTTACAGCTCTTTAAGAATGTAAAAATCATTCTTAACTCATAGGCTGTGTAAAGACAAACCTGAGCATGATTTGATCCATGAGCCATAAACTAAGTATAAATGTAAGCACACGGTATATGAACACTTACAAAACAGGTTCATATGTGCATCCATAATTGCTCAGACCTAATTACTCCTTTTGCTCTATAACTGAAGGGTCTTTTTCTATCTTTATCTTGTCTATAGAATTAAAAAACTGAAATTGCATATGAGATATTTAATGCTAGAGATGGAATTTTATTGTTAGAAGAAATTGTAGTGATTATCTAATTTGAACCCCATATTTATTTTACAGATAATATAACTAAAAACACATAATAAGTGATTAATTAACTTACAAATACTGTAGGGATAGCAGGCCTTCAAATGAGTCCTTATGTAATTCAGTCAAATAATTTTCACTGAGAATTCTGAAAAATGAAAAGGTTATTTCTGCATCAAAATGCAAAACAACTACAACTATTTACTACACAGGACTAACTCCCATCTGGGAGGAAACCTGTGTAATGGTGCCACCTAAATATACTAATTCTTCTTTAATTTAGGAGTACTGAGCTCTGTGCTGTTTCCACTCAAATCCTTTTTTCCTTCTCTTCTCTCTCTCTCTCTCTCTCTCTCTCTCTCTCTCACACACACACACACACACACACACACACACACACAGCATCCATCCACTATTTGAACCAAAATGCATATTTAATGCCTACTCTCTGGATCACAAAGTCTCTGCTAGAACCCTGGTTTAGATGACAACAATACTGGCAGAACTGACATTTCCTCCTCTCTTTTTCTAAATTCTATGTTGGAAGCCCCATACAGCGCGCACTATAGGTAAAGTCATTTGATTTTTTTTTCCCCAACCAAAAAAAAAAAGTTTTTGAGAACTAAAAAAATGCACATCAAGTGTACATAACATATTCAGTTTAATAATTATAAAGCAAATACCCATGAAACACCACTTGTATCAAGAAAAACCCCTGCCAGCATCCCAGAAGGCTTCAGTGTGCCCCTTCCAATCACAACCCTCTCTCTGACTCCCCAGAAGTAACCATTATCCTGACTTTAATAATTTCTTTGCCTTTTTAATTTTTAAAAAGATTAATTGATGGGAGAGGGGCAGAGGGAGAGAAAGAATCTCCAGCAGACTCCTGGCTGAGTGTGGAGTCCTATCCCATGACCCTGAGATCATGACTGAGCCCAGTCAAGAGTTGGACACTTAACTGACTGAACCACCCAGGGACCTCTAATTTCCTTGCTTTTTTAAATGTAGTTTTACCTATGTCAGCCGTAAACAACATAATTTAGTTTTGCCTGTTCCCTATGCCTATGTCTCTGCCTCTCTCTGTGGGTTTCTCATGAATAAATAAATAAAATCTCTTTTAAAAATTTTAGATTTCTCAACTCCGTGTGGGCAATGATCACTAAAGATAGAATACTTTGGCTTAATGCTTTCATGAGGGACGCCTGGGTGGCTCAATGGTTGAGCATCTGTCTTCGGCTGATGGTGTGATCCTGGGGTGAAGGATTGAGTCACATTATCAGGCTCCTTCTAGGGAACCTGTTTCTCCCTCCTCCTGTCTCTCTGCCTCTCTCTATGTGTCTCTCATGAATAAATAAATATTTAAAATCTTAAAAAAAAAAAGTCCTGAGGTTTCTAAACAGTGGTTTTCAGACTGGAGCTGATCTTTGATGAAGTTTTCACCAGTCCTTGGCAAAACAAGAAAAGGACTATATAATCAGGGTTTACTTTTGTTTTCTTTTTCATAAAACAAAATCTATCCCATTTTATTATCCTAAAAATGTGACCTTAGGTTTTCATGCTAAAAAATTGTTTTATGAGGAGTTGCTGATAGAGGATAGTTTTAATGAGTGCTTTTACTTGAGCTTTAAAATAAAAAGTTGGAAATCTTAATGCAGCCTTAACTTTGTTGATGTTTTACTGGTCTGTGAAATCCAAGTGAAGGCCCAGAAGTAGGGATATCAGTGGCCCAAGTGGGACAGTTTAGTCAAACAGTGTTGTTAGCTATGTGCAGGACATTCCTCCAACGGCCCCTTTTCTGTCTTTGCATTGTCCTTATGCACGTTTTACTCTGCATTAGCACCTTCAGATCCCAAATAAAGATGCGTTTATTTTCTTAAACATCTAGATTTTAGCCCATTCTCTGAAAGCACCCCCAAATCATTGGCACCTGGCACCATCTCTTGACCCCAGCCAGCACTATTTTCTCCACCTCAATATACAAGACCCTTAGCCCCACCCATTATCTACTTAGGAATCTTCTTTTACTTTGAAAATAGTTGGCTTTGGAGGAATAACCAGGATCCTGATACTGTTTTAAACCAAAAATTGTAGATTTTATTACCCATCTCATTATCCATTGTATTCATTGTACGTATCCACTCAATTATTATACCCATTAGTTGAGTATGTCTCCACTTCTCTGGGTAGCTTATAAACACCTCAAGAACAATAGTTGTGGTTTATTTTCCTTCTTCTAGTGCCTGCCACACTCCAACTAGATTAGGTACTGGAATATATCTAGAATTAAAAATGAACAAATCAACACATCCTTTGCACAAGGAATGCTTTAATAATTATCCAAAATAACAACTTCTTCATTGTGGTCCTCTTGGTTTGCAAATGAGAGTCAGAACCAGAGGTCTGGGCCCAGATAGGTACAAGGAGGAAGCCCGAGAAAACCATTTATTCCTGGGGGCTCTGGTCAGGTTTATTTGTAAATGGGAAGGAAAGAAAATAACGTGAAGCAGAGGCAAGAGGAAGGAGAAATGAATTCCTGAGTGAGAAGAGGAGCTCTGGAATGACTCTACCATAGCCCTGTGTCCTGTCTCATCCCAAGAAACATCCTGTCATCCAGTAGGAGAGTGGCCGGCCTGCACAGTGCAACCTCCATGCTACCCTGTGGAAAGAAAACAGATTGGTTCTTGTTTTTACCACTCAGTAAGCTCCTTCTGCACCTACATGACCCAGATCTTAGAGCAGTGCTCAGAATCCCCTTCATTCCTAGCTCTCTGCTTTGTCCCCCTCTGGCCCTCTGATTCTTCCCTTAAATTCCCCTATCTGTGGTCTTTGTCCTCTACTTCCCCCACCCGATATGCTTCCACATTTTCAAATCCTTCTCTTCCTCTGAAGTAGGAGAGCACCATTGTAGAAGGCTGAGAGTTACTAAATAAATTAAAAGGTAAATAAATAAATAATCAATCTCAGGTGCAACCATTCACTCTTCCTCCAGAACAGGTCAGCCCTAATAGCCATCAGTGTCCCTTGTGCGTGGTGTTTCTAGAGTAGGCAAGGCACTTAACTCCCTCCATCCTCACAGACGCCTGGAGGCCAGTTGTAGTCAACTGGCCAGTTGTATATACAGCCAGTTGCATTCTGTATATATCCAGTTTGAAGCTCAGAAAAGTAAAGTAAACATCCTAATGTCCACCATCGTGGACAAATGCCGACAGGAGCATTTATATTTACAGAAAATGTTGCTGCCAATTAGCGAGAGGGGACCCTGTGGCAACCGTGACAGTATAGCTCAATTGCTCCCAGGCCTCCAGCTGATGGAACCAAGCAGGGATCTGCTCTGCATCCAAACTGAACCAATCAGGTTCTTTATCCCAGGCACTTGGACACGGACTAAGCCTAGGCAGTCTCTGGTGCTGCTTAGGACATTAGCCCATCCACTTGGGGCAGCCAGAGTCTGTGCTGTGGAATGTGGAGCAGAGAATGCTGCTCTCTACCAAGGAAGTAGTGAAGCAAATGCACCAGGAGGCAGAAACTTGCCAGGAAAAGCTGGCTGACACTTTCCAGCTCTGCTTCCATTACCTTCTGAGGTCTAGCTACACCTGTGTAAGCTCAGTGAGACACTCACTTGAGTTACTTTGTTACTGCATCCAAAAGAGTTTTATTTATTTTTTATTTTTTAAAGATCTATTTTTTAAAAGATTTTATTTATTCATGTGAGACACACAGAGACAGACAGACATGGGCAGAGGGAGAAGCAGGCTCTCTGCGGGGAGTTGATGTGGGATTCGATCCCAGGCCCTGGGGATCACCACCTGACCTGAAAGCAGATGATCAACCACTGAGCCACCCGGGTGCCCAAATATTTATTTATTTATTTTTTATTTATTTATTTATTTATTTATTTATTTATTTATTTATTTATTTTGAGAGAGAGAGACAGCCCTAACGGTGTGAGGGTCAGAGGGAGAGGGGGGAAATCCCAAGCACACTCTGTGCTGAGTGTGGAGCCTGACTTGGTGCTTGAATCACGAGTGTGAGATCATGACCTGAGTGGAAATCAAGAGTTGGACGCTCAACTGACTGAGCCACCCAGACGCCCCCTTCTAAAATAATTTTAGTACATCAGAAAAAGACCCAGATCCTGGGTATTATAAGTCAGAGTTCGAATCCCTGACACTCTCCCACATTTTTCTAGGCTATAAAAGGGTCTAGTCCTTGCCTACTGTGCCTTTCTCTGTCCCTACAACCTTCCCAGGGCTCTGGCTGCTACCCTAGTCCCACAGTGTCCTCCTCACCAGTTCTTCATCCCCCCTGCTCCAGACACAATCCTTTTTGCACAGCTGATGGCTGAGAGAAGATTGGGGCTCAGTATGTCTGGAAGGGAGAGAGAGAGAGAGAGAGAGAGAACCTGTGAGAACAGAGGACTAAGACTGAGGCAGACTCACTCGCTCCTGCTTGGCTTGTCCCTGCGCTGGCAAGCACCCCCCACCCCAGGGGCTGAGTATTTCCAGATTAGGCAAAGCCTCCTTCCCAGAGGCCTGTTTAGACATCCCCACAATGGTGATAGGTAGTGGCCAGGGGTGGGGCCAGGACAACTGTTTACCCCATACTTCCTAGTCAGGGTAGATGATAGTTCATACCATGTTTGAGGGTTTCTAGGGAAAGGAGATGTCAAAACGGGCAGCATAGAGACCAAGGTAAATCTTGCCTACTCAGGAAGGCTCTTCAGATGAAGAGTCTAGGGATATGAATCAGAGTATGAAAGAGGAGAGAAGGTTCAAGTCATGGACCTATGGAGCCTCCTGGAGTGGCTCTGAGGTGGGCAGTTTGCACTTGGCCTTTAATCAGACATTGGCCAAAGTTATTACTTGATGGTTAGAGTGGAGCCTTCAGGGCCACCAGCCTGGTATTCGGAACTGGTTCTATGAGCCTCAGTTTGCTCATCTGTAAAGTGGGCATCATAATAGTTTCCATCACATGAAACGCTGGGTGAAATGGGCTCTGCAGGTAAAGTGCTTAGTATAGGACACACTCTCAAGAAACGTTGGCTGCTGCTGTTGCTCCTGCTCTGCTATTAACTATGCAGAGCTTTTCTAGATCCTGAACACCAAAGAATCTGCTAAGTGGATGGGCACTACAGCCACTTGTCAAGTCCTCTGCTCAGCAAAAACATTCTTGGACTCCATGGGCACTCCCTCTGGGGACATTCCCAGGCCTTGCATAGGAAGAGAAGTCCTGTGAGTAGAGCTTTCCCACCCTGGGGCCTGGCCAGACCTTGACAGTCCTCATGGCAAATGTTTTCTGAGTGACTCCGGTAATCGTTGCACCAGTAATGGCTGTTGATCTGGAAGATGCCATAGTCGAAGCTGCCGTCTGCGTTTTCATTTACCTTCGATATGTTGAATCTGCTTTCCACAAAAGCCAGACATAGCCCTTTGAACAGGGAGAAGAGGGTTTTTAGAAGAGGGTTTTTAGGTTTTTAGAAGAGGGTTTCCTTTAGGGTTTTTGAGCTGAAGGAGGAGGGAGATGGAGGAAAGAGGGAGGTCAGGAAGCAGATGAAAGAAACAAGGCCTAAGAGGCTGGATGGGGCAAGTGGGCTAGAAACATCCATTAGCTTCTCCTCTCACCGTTCGTGCCACCCACCAGCCCCTCAGTACAACCAGTCATCACCCATCTGTCCATCGATGCTTCCTGCACTTAATGATCACCTACTGCATCCCAGGAACTGTACAAAGCCCAGTTTAGGGACATGTAGCTAGGTCAAATGTAGATGCTGCCTTCAAGGGGCCTATAGTACAAGAATGAAGATACATACCTTAAAAAGCCCGAAAACAAGATAAAAGGAGAAAGACAGCACAAGACCAGTGTGTACAAAGTCTGGGCAAAAGGCTGCTAACCCTATCATGGAGTAGGATGAAGCCTTAGAACCCTCTGTTCCCTCTGCCTGGAATGCTATTAACCTAGAAATTTGGGTGGCCAGGTCCTTTGCTTATTGAGTGCTGCTTGATGTTGCTTTCTCGGAGAGGCATTCCTCGACTTCCCCTTCTAGGACAATGTTACCAATCACTCCCCCTGCTTTATTCTTCTGCATGACATTTATCACCACCAGAAGTACTTCATCTATATGTGTATGTTTATTTGTTGCTTGCCTTTCCCTCTAGAATGTGAACGCTGTAAAGGAAGGGGCTTTGCTCTTGTCTATATCCCCAGCACTGAAAATGGTTCCTGGCACATAAGTGCTCATTTAATAATTGTGGAATGAATATGGAATGTTGGGGAGGGCTGCCTTTTGAACTTGGCTTTGAAAGACGAATGACAGAAAGATGGCCACCTAGGGCATGACCAGGAGAGGAGGAGAAATGAGGGGGGTGTGAGAAGCAGCACTCACAGTCATTCAAGGAGTAGCCCTCAAACCCATCCAAGTCCTCCTTGCGCAGCACCCTGGCCAAGTCGCAGCGATTGATGAGGCTGGCCTGATTTATGGCAATGAGGAAGCTGACCAAAGACATGAACAGCACCCTTGTCATCTTTGGAGGAGAGGAGGTACAGTCAAGGGCCTGTGTTTCTGAGGATCTCACAGACGTGCCTCTGGTCTTCTCCCAACACCTGAGGAATCTGGAGAGAGCAGCCACATGTCCCAGCTCACTCACAGCTCCCCACATGGCTATTTCTCTTCCCTCTCATTTATCATTATATAGTTGTTTATTATAGAAACTTTTAAATATTTACAAAATAAGTATAGTATCATGAATCTCCATGTACCCATTGCCCAATGTCAACAGTGGAAAACTGAGACTGATCTCCTTTCATCTATAGGTCTTCAGCCCTTTTAGCTATCCTCACTCTTGTAATGGGCACCCTGCTATGAGCTGTATTTGGGCATAGGGTGGGGAGTGAGGGTGGCAAAGGAGATTAATGAGAACTGTACTTCATTGGTATTTGTGTGTGTGTATTTGAACATGTGCTGTGGAAGGTCTAGGACACTAGACACTGAACTCTCCACACCCCACACCCTCAGATACAAGACACATGACTTTTCCCAAGGGCATACACTGCCTTGTGTAATTCCTAGGAAGCTGTTTATGGGTCTAACACTTTCATTTCCACTCAAAGGTACAAATCATAAAGCAAATAAAAGTGACCTCGATGTAGAAATAACCTTCACCTTCACACTCTCTGTGTTTAGGGGAAGGAGGGAAGAGCAAGAGCTCTAGATTCACACTGCCTACTTTCAAAGACAGGGCTGCTCTGTGACCTTGGGCAATACACTTTACCTCTCTAGGCCTCATTTGTAAAATGAAGATACACTAATACCTACTAAAAAGGGTTGTCATGATAATTAAAGGAAATTTGATCTTGTTTTTGCATTCCCCCAAAAGGAAGCAGGACTTTTAGGGAAAAAGTTGATTCCTAGGCTGGAGTAGGAAAGGATATGAGCTAAGTCTGGATTATCTTGTGCTGGGAAGTAAAGAAGGGCTAAAAATATGGATTGGAGCATGTCAAATGGACATGAGAGCTCCAAAGGTTACCCACAGGCTAAATCTGGAACACTATTTTTGGTAACAGCTTTATTGAGATAAAATTCACAGTATATATTTCACCAAGCCATACAATCACTTCATTTAAAGTATATAATTCAGGGCAGCCCTGGTGGTGCCTTGGTTTAGCGCTGCCCGCAGCCCAGGGTGTGGTCCTGTCGACCCTGGATCGAGTCCCATGTCAGGCTCTCTGCATGGTGCCTGCTTCTCTCTGCCTGTGTCTCTGCCTCTCTCTCTGTGGGTGTCTCTATGAATAAATAAAGTCTTTTAAAAAAAAGTATACAATTCAATAGTTCTTTACTGTGTTTGCAGAGCTGTACAACTATCATCACATCAATTTTAAAACATTTTTTCATCAACCCAAGAAGAAACCCTATGCCATTAGCAGTCACTCCCTGTTCCATCTCCCTCCTGCCTCTGGCAATCACAAATCTACTTTCTATCTCTACAGATTTGCCTCTTCAGGACAACTCACATAAATAGAGTCATACACTATGTAGCCTTTGTCCTTGGTTTCTTTCACTTAACAATGCTTTCAAGATTTATTCATGGCATAGCATGTATCAGGATCTCACTATGGCTGAATAATATTCCATTGTATGGATAGAACTCAATTTGTTCTCTATCATTTTAGAGACATTTGGGTTGTTTCTACTTTGGGGCTGTTATGAATGATGGTGCTACGAACAAATTTTCGTGTGGACAAATGTTTTCATTTCTTTAGTCATAAACTGAGGAGCGGGATTGGTGAATCATACGGTAACTTAAAGTTTAAACTTTGGAAGAACTGGGGCGCCTGGATGGCTCAGTCAGTTGAGCATCCGACTCTTGATTTTGGCTTGGGTCATGATCTCAGGGTCATGGAATTGAGCCCAGGGTTGGGCTCCATGCTCACCAGGGAATCTGCTTGAGATTCTCTCTTTCCCCCCTCTCCCTCTGTCCACTTCCCTCATTCTTTCTCTTTCTCTCTCTCAAATAAATCAATAAATCTTAAACTTTGGAGGAACTGACAGACTTCAAAGTGACTGTACCATTTTCCACTGATATCAGTGGTGTTAGTGTATGAAGTTTCAAAATTTTCCACATTTTCACCGACACTTTCCCATCACAGCTATCCTAATTGGTGTGAAGTGGTATCACCTGGTGGTTTTGATTTGTATTTCCCTGGTGGCTAATGAACTTTTCGTGTGCTCCTTAACCATTTGTGGATCTTTGGGAAAATATCTAGTATTCAGATCCTTTTCCCATTTTTTTAGTTATTTGTCTTCTTATGGAGTTGTAAAAGTTTTTTACTAGATACATGATTTGCAAATATTTTCTCATAGTCTCTGGGTTACCTTTCACTTTCTTGATTTTTTTCTAAGATTTTATTTATTTATTCACAAGACACACACACACAGAGAGAAAGAGAGAGAGAGAGGCAGAGACACAGGCAGAGGGAGAAGCAGGCTCCATGCAGGAAGCCCAATGCAGGACTCAACCCCAGGACTCCGGGATCACGCCCTGAGTCAAAGGCAGACGCTCAACTCCCGGGCCACTCAGGTGCCCTTTGATGGTATTCTTTGAAACGAAGGAATTACATTTTGATGAAGACCAGTTTGTCTATTTTTTCTTGTGTTGCTGTGCCTTTAGTGTCATATCTGCAGAACTAATGCACAGTGGTTTCTAAGGGAATCTAGGACAATTTGACCATCAAAATAAACAACGATAGTGATGAATTATTATCTACTGAATGAGATAGGAATCCATGAGTCCTTAATAGTAACAGACACATAATGGGGATGGGGTAGAACTCTTACTGACAATAATATATGATAAATGTGGAGGTAGTCATGAAGTTGGAAAGCCACCATTCTGCAACCATCAAAGATTGGTCTGAGCAAGAATCATCAATGGGGGCTAAATCTGAGGTGGTGGGAAGCTTGATGAAGAATTGGACATACACATGCTCTTAGAGTATCTCCCCACAGATCATGTATTAGTTGCATGGGAAAAACAGAAACTATGTAGCAAAGAAACCAGACAGTATGTGGACCTTGCAATCAAAATGAACACCTCCAGTGAAAGACAGAGAAAGATTCTGTGCCTCCAGAAGTGATACCCCAAGAAGGACACATATATCTTATATGGTATTCTGGCCAGGGATACATAACTTGTATCTGATCCTAAGGAAAAATTGGACAAAGTCAAACTGAGGGAAAATCTATAAAATAACTGGCCTATACTCTTCAAAACTGTCAATGTGGTGAAAGCAAAGGATGGGGCTATTTCTGTCACCGTGTGTGTGTGTGTGTGTGTGTGTTTCCCCTTAAACTAAGTATATGTTCCCAAGGGCAAAGGCCTGTGTTCCTCCATCCCCAGGCTTCAGAGTCAGGCAACTTCTGCTTGGCCAAGATGACTCCCCGGATGGCCCTGTTTCCTCACAGATGTCTTCTAGGACTCACTCCATACCAGCCTGAGCTTGCGAACATTCTCTTGCTTCTCTCTCTCTCACTCCAGAGTTGCTAGATTTAGCAAATAAAATTAGAGGATGCCCAATTACATTAGCATTTCAGACAAACCACAAATAAGTTTTTAGTATGTCTCATGCAACCCTACTCTAATCTGACTTAGTAGATTCCTTGAGAGACAGGTGTCACTGAGCCTTGGCAAGCAGGGAGCTCTGTCTCTGCCCATGAAGTCCCCTCCCTCCCCTCTTAGGGTTTCCTTAGGGGAGTACAGTACTTGTGGCAGGTGCATTCCCACACTCCCTTCCAAAGCTTACCTCTCTCCTGGCCTTCTCTGACCCCAGGTCCCAGACAGCCCAGTATTTTCCTCGAGAGTCATTAGAACAAAGCCTCATCCACAGGACCTAAACTCTAGCCCCATCCAGTTCACAGCTCCCCATGTTCTAGGGAAGGTGGGAGTGCTGGGCCAGCCTGCCTTCTGGAACCCCAGTTCTGTGACATCATCATTCTCCTGGAAATACTTTGGTCTTAACCATGCAAATTGAGGCCCACTCAAGCTTCCAGCAGAAATTACACATGGGTCTAGGACTGGTGATAACTGTGATGAAGACCGCTGGGTGGGGCAGGGCAGAGTGCTCTGGTTGTTCTATCTGCCCACTACCCTTCCCTTTGGTGAAGGTGAACCTTTGGGGGTAGCTCCTTCCCCCATGGGGTAAAGTAGTGGAAGCTGCCAATCACAGAGCCCTGAGCTCCAGGTGACAGGGGGTACCTCTGGCCCCACTGCTATATTTTAATTGAAACTAAATTGAGCAACTCAGCTTCTCACGGGAAGCCTTCAGGTAGGAGGCCAGAAGCTGACAGTTTGGAATCATATGGCTATAGCCCATTTGAGAGGATAAACCTTCTTGGAGAGAGAGCAGAGTCCACACAGGATGCCAATCCTAGAGTTCACCCTTCCTGAGACCTAAACACACACTTAACCTTATCACAATCCTGTGATTCATGAAATATCCTTTCCTGCAGAAAGGAGTTTAAATTGGGTTTCTGTCACTTGCAGCCAAGGGAGACCTGCCTAGTAGAGAGAATAGGGTTAACTATCCGGGGACTGGGGACCCAACGACCTGTCACCTCCCCATGAAGGTTGCACATCTGAGTGTCATGAGTCACCAAAGAAATCAGAGATACTTCCAACTGCAGCAGAAAGGAGGCAAAGGAAAGTTTTGTGACTGATGGGTACTCTGCCCTCTGAAGCAGGGTGGCAGGGGCCGACAGAAAGTAGGAAGAGCTTGTGGGTGGGCGGTGCTGCCCTGTTCCTTCCACCTTGAGACTTCCCTTCCCTGCAGGGCAGCAGGACATTGCAGCTTGGGCTAACAATGTTGGGGTGAATAACAAACATACACCTAGTATACCTACTAGAATTAGTAGCATTATGTTTAAAGTCTAGATACAGGAGCCTGGGGAGGCGTGCCTGCGCTGCGCAGGCGCATGGGCTCTGCGAGCGCCCACTGCGCATCCCTGCGCTGCTCCTCCCGAGGCGCTGGG